CATCTCCTAGGGGTAAAATCTCAATTTAGGAAGAGCGTCTCCTAAAACAAAATATAACTTGAAAGACCCAGACTTGGAAGTGCGTCTCCTATGGGTAAAACCTCATTGACTCAAACTAATATGACCCAAACTAGGAAGTGCGTCTCCTAGGGTAAAATCTCAATTTAGGAAGTGCGTCTCCTGAAGCAAAATATAACTTGAAAGACCCAGACTAGGAAGTGCGTCTCCTAGGGGCGAAACTTCAATGACTCAAACTAGGAAGTGCGTCTCCTAGGAATGAATTCAAATGACCAAAGCTAGGAAGTGCGTCTCCTAAAAAGTATAATCTGAAAGATCCCTACTAGGAAGTGCGTCTCCTAACGGGTAAAACTTCAATGACTCCAACTAGGCGTGCGTCTCCTAGGGATGAATTTAAATGACCAAAAAAACTAGGAAGTGCATCTCCTAGGGGTGGAATCTCAATTTAGGAAGTGCGTCTCCTAAAACAAAATATAACTTGAAAGACCCAGACTAGGAAGTGCGTAGGGGCAAAACTTCAATGACTCAAACTAGGAAGTGCGTCTCCTAGGAATGAATTTAAATGACCAAAGCTAGGAAGTGCGTCTCCTAAAAAGTATAATCTGAAAGATCCCTACTAGGAAGTGTGTCTCATAACGGGTAAACTTCAATGACTCCAACTAGGACGTGCGTCTCCTAGGGATGAATTTAAATGGCCAAAAACTAGGAAGTGCGTCTCCTAGGGGTGGAATCTCAATTTAGGAAGTGCGTCTCCTAAAACTATATCCTGAAAAACCCAGACTAGGAAGTGCATCTCCTAGGGGTAAATCTCAATTTAGGAAGTGCGTCTCCTAAAAAAAAATATAACTTGAAAGACCCAGACTAGGAAGTGCGTCTCCTAGTGGCGAAACTTCAATGACTCAAACTATGAAGTGTGTCTCCTAGGAATGAATTTAAATGACCCAAACTAGGAAGTGTGTCTCCTAGGGATAAAATCTCAATTTAGGAAGTGTGTCTCCTAAAAGTATTACTTGAAAGACCTTGATTAGGAAGTGCGTCTCCTAGGGGTAAAATCTCAATTTAGGAAGTGCGCGCTTGTCACGATCAACTTGGATTTCAACTTGGAAGTTAGTGCTTGCTATCGGCCTACTGCTTTTCCGGACCGCCCTTATCACAAGAAATATTCCTGATTCGTTCAAATCCAATACCATATGCCCGATACATTGCACTCGTGTTCTAACGTTCACCAGATCTTTGCATCTTACCTCAATCCCAAGAACATCTATTATCACCAACTCAGTGCACCCACTATTCTCATGCGTTATGCCAATTTGATGTGCTTGCCAAACATCGGCTTCATGTGATTAAAAAGCTGGTAGCAGATTTTGAAGTCATTTCTCACTTGTTTCGACAAAAACAGACTCAAAAGGGACTTAAACAAAACAAGAGGAACAAAATAAGGAGAAAAACGAGAATAGATGATATCTAACAAGAAAAAAACTTTTACACAAAAAAAAGGAACAAAGTAGGAACTAATATGATTTGAAGGCCATCTCCACTGACCATGACATGCATTTTGGACTAAGCGGCCTGATCTGTTAAGCGAGTCTAATCTTTAACTCTTATTATTCCTCTAAGCTGTGAAACTGGGCTTCAGTGCTCCAATTGTCCTATTTGATCCACAATCCTCAGTTGACTTGTAGTTCCCTGAAGGGTTTTCACTATCAAGCCTCTCTCATTTTGCTCTTTTCTCAACTCACCATCGCCTTACAGTGTCCATGAGGGTTTTCACCGATAAGACTCTCTCACTTGATCATTTTCTCTCTTTGCGCTGAGAACAAAGGTATTATCCATGATGCACGAAGATCATACTTTCACCACAAACTTGATTTGACATCCTCAAAGATTGGTCGGAAGGTCTTTCGTTGGACCGTAATGTAGGCTTTTGGACATGGTTGGAAAGAAAGGGTGGCATGAAGGCTCAAAATAATTTATGATGAAAGGATTCAAAATTACAACTTTTGGGAATCAGATCTTTTAGCCAAAATTAAAACTTCTGCCCCAGTTTCCTGGGGTCTAGGAATTTTTTTGATTTTTGCTTTGATGGGATCGAACCTCAGAGTAAAGCTGCCTACGTATCCTTAAAAGGAATCAGGTTGAACGTAGTTCAAACACAAAAGTTGAATTATTTTGTTGTTTTTCTTTTCCTTTTTTTTTTCTTTCTTCTTTTTCCCTTTTTTCCTATTTTTTTTTCTTTTCCTTTCATTTCCTTTCTTTTTCTCTTTTTCTTTTCTAGTTCCTAACTCTACTTCTGATTCCAAATGAGGGGTATGAAACAAAATAAATTAAGCTTCAAAAGGGGTAGCAAAAGATAAAAGTGTTTGGGTAGCAGAATAAAATGCCTTTGTCATACCAAACTTTAAGAATGCCAAGTACAAACATGCAATCGAAAATAAGCAAAGAAACCATACATAGTATCTATTAATGGCATCAACACAAACAAAAAGTGTCAATGGGCAATACCTTTGTCCCAATGAATGACTATTTCTAGTTCGAAGCAGACTTGACTCAACCTTCTCTTGATGTGGAAGAATGCATTTCAGCACTGACTGATCTACCTCAAACTGCTTGAGAGACATTTCCTTGTTGTATGCTCTTATCAACCTCTTGATTTCCCAGACTAACTACCTCAGTTTCACTCAGTTCAAGCTTTAGGTTATCTCAGAATGCGTGAATCTTTACTTGTTTCCTCAAATGCATCCTTTTATCATATTCAAAACTGTGTCATTGCTTCATGATTAGACTAACTTTCAAGACCAGGATGAGAATTATGCGTGCATTTCATGTCACTAGAGTCAGAACTATAAAAGGAAAAGTGACTTAAACAAAAACTGACTAGAACTAGCAGAAAACAGGAGATTGCATTAGACATAAGGTGAAAGGGTTTGAACAGTGAGATAAGCACAACAAAACTTGGGTTACAACCCTGGAACGATCTTAGATAACACTAGACGAGTTACTATGCCAAAACGAACTAGGCAAAATAGAAGGATAGAAGGGTTTGAGTCACAAGACAATATCCGGATTACAACCCTGAAATAACCCGGACAACAAAAATAATGACAAAATAAACTACCAGGGCTCCTTCATGGCTAACCAAGTAAGGAGTGTCTTTCCAATTACTAAGCTCGAGTAATTGGGTAGTGAGTCGCACATCAAAATTATTGGGACCTGGTGGGCCAACTCTGGGGTGTATTATTGGACATCATGAGGTTTGACTGGTCTTCACTGTTGGATCTTTGAAGGAGAGGTTGTTGAGAAGTTGTGATAGTGGGGACAGTGGATATGACAAGAGGGCTATTTTTGGGAAATGTAGTTGGAGGACGAACAATGGAGTTACTAGGGAGGTTAGAAAAGCTATGGTAAATGGAAAAATCTGGAGAATATGGCGGATCATCTGGCACTATGACTAGGGCTCGGGTGAGGGTAGCATCTAGGGAGCTAGGTGGCGGTGGGGGTGGTGCCTTCCAGTCATCCAAGCTTGATACATGTCCGCCATTGACGGTGACCTAACGTGCGCCTCTGCCGGCATGGGTAGGGGGAGACCTAAGAGAGTGATCCAGATCACAACTACTAGTAAGGAACTAGTAATTGAGCAAACGAAGAAGATCGAAGACATGTAGAAGCTGCCGAGCTCAATGGAACAGTTGCAGAGCTCTAATGAGACATGGCCGCCTTTGCATGGAGTGAATTCAGCTAGATCAACTCCAATTGATAAAGGTGAACAAAGCCAAACTGTGAAACTATTTGAAACAGTTCCAATTATAGAGAAAATTGAGGTTGAAAAGGTGATACAGAGGAAGGAGGTCCAACAGACGAAAGCACCGAAGCTAGCTATGGCGAAGGAAGTCTAAATCCATAAAAAACTAGATGAGGCACAGAAGAAGGAGTGGGTGAACCTATTTGCTAGAAATAATTTGGCGTCTAGAGGTATGAACCTCAAATTTATTGCTCCGATGATCGAAAATGGTGAAAAAATAGTTGAACTAGATACAGATGAGGTTGAGCGAGAAACGATGAAATGGAAACATACAATTGTACTGTATGTTGTGGGTGACACCCCCTCAATTGGTGTTTTGGATCGATTTATTGCTGCACAGTGGAATTTTGTTAGCAAACCAAAAATATACTTCCATAATGATGGATATTTTGTGGTTAAGCTCAACAGTGTGGAGGACAGGGATGCTGTGCTGATGTCTGGACCGTATACGATAAGAAACAAGCCTATAATTGTTAAAGCTTGGTCGCCTAACTTTGATTTCAGCAAGGAAGTTTTACAGACTATTCCTGTTTGGGTAAAATTGCCCAACTTGCCATTGATGTTGGAGTATGGATTCACTCAGTAGGATAGGAAGTGGCTTAGGAATTCCCCTATATGCTGATGAATTTACTTCAAAAATTGAGAGGATTTCCTATGCAAGGCTTTTGGCTGAAATGGATGTTACAAAGGAGATGCCTACTGTTCTAAAGGTTATGGATCCTAAGGGCAAAGTTTTTGAACAATCAATTGACTATGATTGGCTTCCTGAATATTACCACACCTGCCTTCAGGTTGGACATAGCTGCAGGGCTGCCCGGACAGTTATAGAAGGGAAACAAAAACCAAGGATGGAGTGGAGAAGAAGAACAGAACCAATCAAGACTGAAAAGGCTGAAAGTGTTCCAACTAACAATACTGGAAAGGCTGAAAGTGTTCCAACTAATAATGTAATACAAGCAAGCAAGATAGGTGATATTGAGGCTGATCAACTACCAGACTGGGAACTAGCTAAAAGGAAATCTGCAGCTAAAAGTAAGATGGCAAACATAAGAGGTGATACTAGCATTAATGTGGTGAATAGATTTAGCCCACTTAGCTTTGAGATAGGGGATATAACTGTGGAGAAAGGGCAATGTAGCTACCAGGGTGATACTGGGGATCCTAAGTCTAAACAATCAAACAAATGAGACTTATAGCTTGGAATGTGAGGGGTGTAAATGAAGTTTATAAACAAAAAGAAGTAAAGAAGTTCATTGTAAATAATGAAGTAGCACTGATAGCTATACTGGAAAACAGAGTAAAGGAAGATAATGCTAGCAGAGTAACACAAAAATATGCAACTAACTGGAAATGGTGTGCAAACTATGCACATAGCTCAAAAGGAAGAATATGGGTTATTTGGGACCCAAACAGACTGGAGTTTGAAGCTACTACCATGAGTTCTCAGGCTATTCATGGAATCCTTAGCATTCCTCGTTTACATCTAAAACTGCACTTGAAAGCAGTTTATGGTTTGCATACTATTGAGGCAAGGAAGGAGTTATGGGAAGAGTTGAAGGGGGTGAGTATATCAGTCCAAAGGCCATGGTTAGTCTTTGGGGATTTCAATGCTATAACTGATATAGAGGATAGGTGTCGCGCCCCCTTTTTTCCTCCTCACGGAGAAAGTCCCGGTTTGGACATTCCATGGGGGGATCGACTCGTTTCCTTTTGGGATTTGGGTATTTGAAGAGTCGCCACCTAACGGATTATGGTGCGTTAGGGCACCTAGAGCGATTAACTCTTAGACTAGTTTGCATTACCAGAGATTTAGGGTAAGGGCTCGAAATAACCTTGAGGGGAAGGTGTTAGGCACCCCTCTCAGTCCACAACGGTGGGTCCCGGCCGAACTTATACTTATGAATTAGTCCTTTAACAAATAAGTAGTTGAAACACATAATTGCAAATAAAGCATGTTGGACATTGTATGACTCAAATAATAAGACAAAGGCTTTGAACAAGTTGTGTACATATAAAAAAAAAAGTAAAGTTTTAGACAAAGGGAATTTGGGAAGGAGGGGTCCTAGGTTGGTTAGACTATAGGATCACCCCATTCAATGCCCGGTAAACACTCCTCAATGAGGGGCTACACGTGACATTAACGCGTAGTCATCATATCCATATCTATCATTCCCACCCCTTAGCGGTTATTAAGCGAATGTTATTTAGCGATCTCTATGCGTGCTGTTACCCGTCCCTTCTTAATGGTCCTGGAGGAAATTAGGACCTCTACCTATAGGCAGTTCTAGACAGACCCCTAAGGTTTAAAGGAGAAATACTAAGGTGACAAGCAAGAACACATAGGACTTTAGCAAATAAAAGCAGGAAGGAGCAAATAAGAGGCTCAGGTTTACCTCCGCAGATAATGCATGTAAACAGCACGACTCAAACATAAACAAGAGCAGTATTATTAAACGGGATCCTAAGACATGATGTCTAGGTGAGCATCAGAACATAAGAGACATGCAGATTTTTTTTTAAACTTAGAAACAGGGGCCTAATCAGTTTGCCTACTGATTTTAAGCCTGTTAACCATTAAGCAGTAAACACAAAGAACAGTTTCCAGTTTTATAGAGGTTGATTACCTAAGGCTTGCCTAGGCGTAGGATAATGCACAACAGTTACCAGAATTATTAAAATAGTTTAGAAGTTATTTTACCTAAAGCATGTTGTTCTAAGTATTGCGAAGATACAGGGATTATGACCAATTTTACTTAAACAGGATAAATGTGACATTGTTTTTACATCTTTCATAACCAGTAGTTTAAACTAGATGTGACTGAACGAGTATGAACGAGATCCTAAAATAGGGTATCTAACATGCACATATAAAATGCAGAATGATTTCAGGATATGCAGAATTTCTAAAGCATGATTTCTAAATGCCCGGAAAGTTACAACATGATTTCAGGATGTGCAGGAGCAACAATTTTATGTTAATGCTGTTATTTAGCCTAAAACAAGATTTCTAAGTGATAAAAATAATGTCAAATGAGATGCTTAAACAGTAAACCTAAGAACATGATATCTAATGCATGACATGCTTGGAATGTATTGGTCCTAAACATGGATTCTAATGCACATATGGGAAATGTAAACCTAAGGCACGGTTTCTACCCATTGATATTGATAATATATATGACTACCCTCCCCTTTTCACTAGCCAACCCCAATATTCGTTTACAATAATTATTACAAACCAGTATTGAAATGAATTACATAAGTAGAAAAAGAAAATAAGAAATTACACTATAGAGAGCCTGAAAACAGGCCCAGATTTCCAGAACCTCAAATGCCCAGATGTTTCATAGCCTTTCTCAAATCCCGATGTGTCAGAGTTCCCTAAGGACCTCAAGGATCCCGGGCAGTGCTCACACCCAAATTTCACAACCATAACTGAGTAGGTGTGGTGTGGAAGATCCAGCTCCAATGCATCAGAGTTCAGAGGGATCTCATAGGGATCCCTAAGCAGTCACACATTGGATGGGCAGAACTTAAGGACCTAAGAGTAGAGTGAGAGTGCTTGACATGGTTTTGAAAAGGTTTTAGCAGGAAAGCGGTGTGAAAAGAGACTTAGTTGAAATAGTTTTGTAAATAAGAGAGTTGTTTAGTAGAACAACTTTTGAAAATAGTTGTGTAATTAAACAAACAGCAGGTCAGTCAAACAAGTTCAGCAACACTCAGAGAACAAACCTTCACACATGGTCAATTGGGGGTTGGGGACAAATAGAGCATGTATGGTGAACACATAACAGGCAGAAGTCCTTTGCACTTGGTGCAGGTAGTAAGACATAGATTCAGGAGTGTTAATTAGAACACATTTACAGAACCAGAGATGCTTTAGGGAGATTCATGGGGGTTGGGAGATAGTAGAGTAAAGGATTTTATACTAAACATGGTTGAGCATAATATTAAGACAACTTGGGACAATAGCCCAATAGGTGCATACTAGAACTAGTCAACAGTATACAAGCATTAAACAAAGTAAAGTCAAGTTACTGGTTCACGAGAGCATGCTGACCCTAAAGAGGTAAGACATGGCTAGCATAACTAGATGAAGCAAAAGAGATTAATTACATGTTGAACAGCAAAACCATAGGTAGAAACAAATCAGGAACATCATGAACTGAAGTAGTAAAAGAAACATATTATTTTTGGGACTTGAATTGAAATCAGAACATACCAGTATAGAGATAGTAAACACAAAGTGAAGAATAGGAGAGCACAATAATTAGCCTTGGCTTGCAGCCGGCTAATTCAGAATAGTAGCAAGTAACAAAGAAAGAAAGCAGAAAGCTTTTTGAGTGTGAGAGAGTTTTTGAACCAATGTGTTCGTGTGTTTTTGTTAATGAGAGAGCATATGTATATATAGTTTGAAACTAGGTAGAATAATAAGGTAAGAATCAAAGTCATGCAGTAATTATGGAACTAGGTATCAATTAGTATAAAATCAGTATAAGTACTCCCTTAATTAAGAGAGTTAACTTCAAACGGTAAAGACAAATAAGGAAGGAGATCACATAAGACTGGAATATAACACAAAAGGAAATAATTTCAGCATAGTGCAAGTACATAACAAGTAATTAGGCTAGGTTCAGAAAATCTAATTAAGGAAAGTACTTAAGAATCGATTGACAGCATAGTCGACCAAAAAATAAGGCAAGAAAATATCTTAGAGGTTGAAAATCAGTAAGGAAATCATCACAAGAGATTAGTGAAAGGTATCAATTACAGGAAATTAGGGATTCAAACAGGAGTAGTACTAATTAAGGGGAGATTACCACAAGTCTCTATGCATACACGGAATAAACACATAATAGGAAAGAAGAGGCAAAAAATCAGAAACCCTAATGAGCACAGTAGTAAAAATCACATAGAATCAGGGATTCAACTAGAAAAAATAGTAATAATTAGAGGAATTGACAGAATAAACATAATATAAGCGGAAGAAGCAAAAAATCAGAAACCCTAATGAACATAATAGGGTAAAATTATAGAAACTCGGAATGTTCATGAGAAACATGCACACATACGAATCAAATCATCAGAGACAGACTCAGATAAAAAGGGAAAAGCATGAATAAACGTTTAAACGTAGTAAAAATCATAGAATAATACGGAAAATCGGAAGGAAAAGTCATTTTGAAAAGGGGTTAAAAAACCCTAGTTTGAAGATGAAAATGCGTTTTTAAAATATCGGAGAGATTCTTAAGAAAACAGTAAAGATAACTCAAAATATACTCAGATCTGTGGTAGATATGAAGAGTCAAGAGATGAGATAGGGTTTCAGAGAGAGAGAACCCAGAGATAAAGAGATTCCAACTTAGAAGCCATGGATCTAGCCGGAAAATATAAAGATCTTACTCGGACGGCCAAGGGTGACCTGAGAACGGCATGAAAAGGCCATGGGTGTGAGTTGAACACCCTCTGGTCCCCTTTAGGACCTCAAGGTAGCAAGGATCTGGCATGTGAGGGATCCATGGAGGCTAGGGATGGTGGTTGAGCCACCATTGTTACCGGCGAGCCAACGGCCGATGAGAGGAGCTTAGGGTTTAGCAGAGAGAGCTTGAGAGAGATGAGAGGATGTAATGGCGGAGCAGAAAAGAGAATGAGAGAATGGGAATGAGGGTTTGGGGGGTAGTCTTTTAGGTTAATTATGGTATGGGTGAATCTGGTCCGTTGATCAAAATTGATCAACAGTCCAGATTAAATTGGGTTTGGGGTCTGGTTTAATTAGGCTAGAATTGAAATAAAAGTAGGCTATTTGTTAAATACCCAATTAAATTAATTAGAATAATTTGTAAAAATAGCTAATAATCACAAAAAATGAATTTCATGCATAGAAAATAATTTAAAATGGTTATTTAGTATTTTAAAATACAATTGACTAATTTCCGATCAAAAATAGTATAAAATTATATGCTTGGGCTATAATTGCAAAGTTATTGCAATTATAGCTAAAAGGTGCCAATTTGGCTAATTATGAAATAATTTGGTCTTAATAGGACCAAAAATAATAAATTACATCAAGAAATGCTTTTGAAATCATTTGTGAGGCAATTTTGTAATTATTTCTTAGAAATAAAATGCAGGATAAATTAATAAAAATATAGGAAAATATCAATTGCTAATCAATGCATGATTTTGAAGACATATATGCAATTTGAAATATTTTATGGGAAAAATTGGGTATTAACAATAGGCAGTTTGGCAACCCAGTCCAAGAGAATGAAATAAGGGATTACAATGACTTTATACAAGCTAGTGGCATGATAGAGTTACGAGCAATAGGGAGGAAATATACTTGGTCAAATGGACAAATCTGGAGCAGGATAGACAGAGCTCTTGTGAATGCAGAATGGTTGATGACAGCTGCTATTACTGAAGTAATGATCTTAAACCCTGGGATTTCAGACCATACTCCACTAAGTATTCAACTAAAAGATGATGTGCATATAAGTCCAAAGCCTTTTAGATTCCTGAACTGCCTTGCAGATTACACAGACTTCCTAAAAGTGGTGGCTAATACTTGGTGCGAAACTACAGGAAAGCAGCACATGCATGACATATGGTGGAAGCTTAAAGCAATGAAGAAAGAGTTGAAACAACTGAATCATACAGAATTAAGAAATGTAGGGGAGAGGATTGAGTTCTATAGACAGAAGTTGCAAGATATTCAAACACAAAGGGGCCATCACACTCAACCAGATCTACTGTTTGAAGAAGAGAAAGAAGTGAAGGTTGAACTAGAGAAATGGAGCCTAGTGGAGGAAAGTATTCTGAAGCAGAAGTCTAGGAACAAATGGCTAGAACTTGGTGATGAGAACAATTCTTATTTCTCTGCTAGTTTGAGGAATAGACAGGCTCAAAACAGAATTACAAGCCTTATTGATTCTAAAGGAGATATTATTCAACAACCAGAAGACATTGCTGCAGAAGTGACTAGTTTCTATAAAATACTATTAGGGAGTGCTGCTGCTCAGCTTCCAGCAATTGATCCTTAGGTTATGAAACGTGGAAATGTACTCAACATACATCAACAACTGCAGCTAGCATCACAGGTAACTCAAGATGAAATATTTCAAGCCCTTATGAGTATTGATGATCATAAAGCTCCCGGATGTGATGGATTTAATGCACTCTTTTTCAAGAAAGTTTGGGGTGTGATTGGAAGTAATGTTACTGAAGCTGTCCTCCAGTTCTTCATGGAAGGAGATATATACAAAGCAATAAACTGTACAACAATTATATTAATCCCAAAGATTAAGAACCCCACAAGAATATCAGAATTTAGGCCAATAGCATGTTGCACTATGCTATATAAGCTGATCTCTAAAATCCTTACCACTAGGATGCAGGGGGTGATGGACAGTCTTGTCGATAAAAGTCAATAAGCTTTTGTGCCTGGCATATTAATCACAGACAATATCATTTTGAGCCATAAACTGGTGAAGGGATATGGAAGGAAAGGCATCACTCCTAGATGTATATTAAAAATAGATATGAGGAAGGCTTATGATTCAGTGGAATGGCCTTATGTTAAGTAAATCCTTCACTGCCTCCAAGTTCCAGCAAAGTTTATCAGATGGATTATGTGCTGCATTTCAATTGTATCCTATTCAATTCTACTCAATGGAGAGCCAATGCCACCATTTCTAGCTAAGAAAGGACTAAGGCAAGGAGATCCTCTCTCCCCCTTCTTATTTGTGCTTGCCATGGAATATTTCAGTAGAAGTTTGAAGGGTGTCTGTGAGGACAAAAGGTTCAAATTTCATCCGAGATATAAGAAGCTGCAGATTATACAACTTGGTTTTGCAGATGATCTCTTATTGTTCTGCAAAGGTGAATTGGAGTCTGTCAATATGCTGATCCAATGCTTCCAAAAATTCTCACAGGTGTCTAGATTGATTGCCAATGTTGAGAAAAGTTCAGTGTACTTTGATGGTGTCCACCAGGATATACAACAGTTGATTTTACTGACTATCCAATTTGGTAGGGGTGAATTGCCTTTTAGATACTTAGGAATTCCCTTGAGTACAAAAAGGTTGTCTATTATTCAATGCAAACCTCTAATAGATAAGATGCTGGCTAGAATCAAATCATGGACCACTAGATGCTTATCATATGCTGGAAGAATCTAGCTTGTGAAATCTGTGATGTACTCTATTCAAGTCTATTGGTCACAGGTGTTTGTACTTCCAAAAAAGGTTGCTCAGATGGTAGAAGCTACCTGCAGAAGCTTTCTGTGGTCTGAAGGAAGTGATCTTAGCAAGAAAGCACTGATTGCATGGGATAGACTATGTCTTCCTAAAACTGCTGGGGGTCTAAATATATTAGATATCTATGTATGGAACTGCGCTGCTATAGGCAAACTGCTATGGAACATATGCAGGAAGAAAGATTGTTTGGGTAAAATGGATCCACTCCTACTATACCAAGACAGGGGATGTATGGGATACTAAACTACTCAAGCTTCATGGGTGGTACAGAAGATCATTAAAGCAAAAAGCATGCTTGAACAGATAGGCTTCAATGAAACAGATGTAGCAGCTATTCCTAAGTACTCAATAAATGACATATATGGAGCCTGTCGTGGGAAATTTCAGAAAGTTCCTTGGAGAAGATTGGTATGCAACAATGCTGGGCAACCTAAATGGACTTTCATTTTATTCTTGGCTCTTCACAGAAGACTACAAACTAAGGAGAGGATCGCATGCTGGGCTAATCTAGATGATATGGCATGTGTGCTATGTGAACAGGAGAATGAAGACATCGATCATCTATTGTTTGCGTGTGTATATGCTAAACAGGTGTAGCCAAAACTTCTAGCTTGGCAAAGTATAAGAAAGGAAGCGTGGAACTGGTAGCATGAAGTGTAATGGGCAATAGAAAATGCTACTGGAAAGACTGCTCAACAGGAGATATATAGGATGACACTAGCTGGTGGAGTTTATCATTTATGGCAAGAAAGGAATGCAAGAATCTTCAAGGCTAAAAGAAGGTCTGCAGATCAAGTGATTAAGCAATTGATAAGAGAAATTCATGTTAGAGCTCGTAGAGTTAGAAGATTGGATAGATGTATGAAAGATTTAAACTTTTATCCATAGGCAATAGAGTTGTGTAGATGTGATTGTATAGAGATGATATGCAGTAAGTTTGGGACTTATGTCCAAAATGTTGCTTTCCAGTTTTAACAATGGTTGTAACTGAAATTTTGATGAAATAAAATATATAATTACCAAAAAAAAAAACATTATAGGATCTTCTACTTTCCCTAGACTGGGCTTCCTTCATCTTGTAATTGTTACTTGACAAGCAAGATGTACTAAAGAGTAATATAGGATTATGAAGGTAGATCTCAGTTTCCCTTCAACTCTTGATATGTATTCTGAAGCTAAGAATCTCCTTAGCCAGGTAAATTGATTATTACACTACAACACTTTATGCCTTTGACTCCCCCGGAAAAGCGTGGCCTAAACTAGCAAAAAGTGTGGTCTTTGGTCAAAGGCCACACTTTTCGACTTTAGGCAACGCTTTTCTGGGGGTGGCCAAAAGAAGCGTAACCTTTGACCTAAGGGCACGCTTTTTAAATGTTACCTTACAAGTCACGCTTAAAAACGTGGCCTATTAGTCAACAAAGACAACGCTTGTTACGCCCCATATGGCAACGCTTTTATACCCTACAACTACACTAAAAAAACGTGGCCTTTATTACCTTTTAGGCCACACTTGTTAACCGTGGCTTTTAAAGGAACACCTACAAAGCGTGGTCTTTGCTTATATACATGCTAGACGTATAGGCAAATGGCCACACTTTTAAAGCGTGGCAATTTTGGCTAGGCTATAAATTTTTTTTGAAAATTTTTAAAAAAATTACAGTTTACATATATCATGTAATTACAATTATTTCAAGCACATGCATTATTATCATATATTTTGATGATATAAAGAATTAAATTAGCTAATAAATACCAAAAATAATAATCCAAAAGAATACACATACTAATAAAACAATGTGTCAAAATGCCCATTAACAATAAACTTTCCAAAAGTGAGTATATTCATATAGTATCATGAATATAAGACATCTTGATTATCCAAAAATTCTTCGCATTCACATTACGATCAAATTGACTTTCCGCCACCATTTTCAATTGCATCACCCACTTTCTCCTACACATAAAAAGAAATTAATAATTAGATAGAAACTAAATTTTGATGCTCGTCGAGAAGAACAAAGACTTTGATAACATATAGTAGCACCATGTTTTGCATATTTTTCAGTCACATATAGAAAAAATTGAATAATGAGTACAATAAACAAAATATAGTAGTCCCATTTCACTCACCTAAACACTAAATTCCATGACTCCCACTCCCTCACGTCACTAGCATATACTCTCACATATTTTTTCACCTCAATCTCATGTCACAGCCAAGACCGACTCCTTTGCACTTTATGAGGTAACCACCAAATTTTCCTTTATAAAAGAGATGGAGAGCTAACATAGAAGAGAATTTCTTATCATCTCCATTTAAGTGTTCTAACATAGGCAGAGCCAGTCTTTGGACTTCAACCCATAGCTTGTCTTAGTTATTCGGTTAGCAATTATTTATACATTAGTAATGAATTTCATAATACAAATAGTACCCCCCCCCCCAAATCCCGGGTCCCCGTTCTAAAGATGTGGTTACAAACTTGGGTAAACTGCTTGGAATAAGTTGAAGCTGACAAAGATTCCCTAGAAAAGAAAGTATTTTACTTATATTTTGGATGTTAAACCTTTTTCCAATGTGTTTCATTTGTTTCACCAGGAGGAGGACTCTGCTGGAAAATAGAGCAAATGGAATTACTAGAGGAGCTGCATAAGGAGCTGAAAGAAAAGGAGGAAACCATTGCGCTTCTAAAACAACGAATATCTTTAATGGAGCAACAAGAACTCGAGGGAGAGGGAGGTAGACATTTTGAGGCAAAGCTTGAAAATAATAAGCTACAAGATGAAGGCAACCAGCATTTCTAAGAATCTTTCGAAAAGCTTGCATCTGTAAAGTTCAGTCATTACGGAAAACTGATAGCTATAATATAGAATAAATGGCAGTCACATAAAAGTTTTCTTCTAATATGTTCTCCTCTTCAAGAACATAGCTAGTTTCAGATAGCAGTCTAGTATTTTATGGTTAATTTGTTGACCTCCACCCTAAAACAGATAGTGCTTTTTCAGATTCTTTCAGTTTTGGATGTGAGGTCATTGTTTCAGTGTTTGAGAAAGAAGATAAATTTGTCTTCTTTGAGTTAACTGGAAAGAATGTGGAAAAGGTTGGTTAGATCCGACAAATCCTTGTATATCTGAACTAAAAAGTTCAGGATTGTTTTGCACCAATAGATTAAAGCAATGACGCATTTGCCTCAATTCTTGCATTTCTTCTCTCATTTCTTGCATTTCTGCTTTCAATCTCTATAAAAGACAACATTCTTTCCAGTTAGAAGATGGAATACTTGCAGCTTTGGCTCAACACAAAGAAGACAAATTTATCTTCTTCCTCTTTGATTCTCACCAGCAAAAACCCCATCATAAAATAATTGCAAATACAACTCCAAACAACCACCAAAATTGCTGCACAGCTCCAGCCAAAAAGCCTACTAAAATGCAACCTAGACAGCGATGAAAAGTGGCCACAAACTCTAGCGAAGCACCTCTAAACTTCAGCTCTAAATTAGCCCCAAAACGACCCCAATATACCAGTGAAAAGCAGCCCCAAAAATGACCTTTTAACACCCCAAAAACTGACCGAAAAGCAAGACAAGTTGGAGTCTAAATACCTTTTCAAGAATTGGACCACGGGTTGATCCAGAGGAATGTGGGAGATTTTGGGCTCTTATAGCTTGTGCGCTACTTGCATCAACTGGAGATGGTTGGTTAGATCCGACAAATCCTTGTATATCTGAACTAAAAAGTTCAGGATTNATTATAGTAGAACTAAAAGTACATTTTATAATTCACTA